AGAGAGAACCTAGTGCTACAGAGCTATAGACATACAGACATCCAGCGATCTGCAGCTATAAAGCCGGCCATTTGCCGTCGGCGGCTCAGTTCAGAACCTCAACTTCGCCGCGATCGTGCAACTGTATCTCAAAATGCTCAAGTATCTCATCGTAGCGCTGGCCCTGTGTGCTGTGGTGTGTATGGTATATGTGTAATCAATGAAATGTGAACGAACTGCGCTGATTGGGAACTAAAATTTGGAATACCCAAACTAAAACTCAGAACAAATCAGCGAGGGAAAACCCAAGTTCAAGTCCAAATGCTTAGCATTGTGCCCATAAAATGAAAAGTTTGGTGTGCTGACATTAATTTGTATTTCTACAAAGTCTCACAGTTGTGCAATTACGCTTTTTCAACTGCAGTTTTGCATAACTTATCATTTATTTAACGCAGGTCGGAAAATTCCGATCGGAGTTGACTCAATGTGTACCTTGATATAGAGGGTTACAAAATAAATTGAATCAGAGGCATAAGCAAACAAATTGCAGGCAAGCGAAAACGGCGAATCATTCATATTTATTTATTGAGAACAAAACCATATGCGTAGTTACGAAATGCTAATCCCAATAAATCCCAATAGAACCGAGTTTAGTTATTTACTAAATATTTATACTAGAGTTGTAAGAGTTACTGTGTTCTTGTACTAACTAAGCGAACCCTCTTTACGAACAGGCCCATGCCGACGACTGGACGCCCAAGACTGGCGAGGAGATCAAGAAGATCCGCATCGAGTGCCTCAAGGAGAATCCCCTGAGCAACGAACAGATCTCCCAGCTGAAGAACCTCATCTTCCCCAACGAGCCTGAAGTGCGCCAGTACCTGGCCTGCTCGGCCACCAAGCTGGGCATCTTCTGCGAACATCAGGGCTACCACGCCGACCGCCTGGCCAAGCAGTTCAAGATGGACCTGTCCGAGGAGGAGGCCCTCCAGATCGCCCAGAGCTGTGTGGACGACAACGCGCAGAAGAGTCCCATCGATGTGTGGGCTTTCCGCGGACACCAGTGCATGATGGCCAGCAAGATCGGCGACAAGGTCAAGGCCTTCGTAAAGGCCAAGGCGGAGGAGGCCAAGAAGCAGGCCGCCTAGGTATTGATGTTCAGTGGCCCCCAATAAAGTGTGTTCATCTGTGTGCTGGAATGCTACCATTGGAATGGGATAGTTTATTGATTCTAGGCTAAGCAGGCAACAGGCAAAACCACAATACAAGTGCACCGAACTAGGACTACTGAGCGTGTGGATGGTCTACAGGGGGGATTGGAGCTACGGGGGATTGGGGTGGTCTCTGTGCGGTGTCCTAGGCATCTCCGCCCTCAGATATGGTCTTCATGGCCACATTGATGTGCTCCACCAGCGGCAGCTCGCTGTCCAAAGCCGGGTTGCGGAAGCTCTCCAGGAAGTAGCAGGTCTCGGTGCCGCCGGGATTGGGGAACTCCTTGGGCAGGAACGAGGGATCCCGCGGCTGCAGCTCGAACTCAAAGCCCTCGTGCTTGGTCAGCCAACTGAAAGGGGGAAAATAAAATGATATAGAGGGCGATGGGAGGAAGAGGCCGATGGAAGCACTCACTCCTTGGTGGTTGGGCTGACATTGATCTTCAGCGCCTCGCTGCCCGACTCGAACTTGTTGGCGATGGTGACGCTGTGCCCGAAGAGGCAGTACCTGGGCATCTTCCTGCCCACCACGCCCGCCAGGACGGTGCCCGTGTGCAGGCCGATCCTCATTTTGATTTGCTCGCCGTCGTGGGTGATGTGCTTCGAGCAGGCGTCGATCATCTTGAGGGCCATCCAGGCCACCTTGTGGGCGTCGTAGATGGAGGCTCGGTGGAGTCCGCTGGCCACGCAGTAGGCATCCCCGATGGTCTCCACCTTGTACACATCGAAGAAGTCGCAGAACTCGTCGAAGTCCTTGTACAGGCCCTCCAGCATGCTGATCACCATGAAGGGTGTGGCCCGCGAGCAGATGCTGGTGAAGCCGACAATGTCGCTGAACAGGATCGTGACATCGGGATACGTCTTGGCGTCAATGGAGGAGCCCAGCCAAAGCTTCTCGGCGATCTCCGCGGGAAAGATGAGGTGCAGCAGGCTGACGTTCTTCTTCCGCTCCTTGGTCACCGCCGAGTTGGCCTCCTCAATGCTGTTCTTGATCTTGTCCATGCGCCGGCGCAGTCCATCCTGGGCCCTGGCCTGTTCGCCCACCAGGATCACCTCCCTGGTGGCGTCGTGCAGCGGTATGTCCGAGATGAAGAGTCCGTTGCAGGTCAGCCCGTCCAGACCGTCCAGGAAGGGGGATCCAATGAAGAGCAGCGAGTTCGACTCGGGACAGTGCACCATCTGACCCTTGATCTCCAGGCCAATGGCCGGAAAGTCGACAGCTCCCGGCGGATTATTCAAGCCGATCAGGAAGGGCGTGTAGGTGCGCCGCACGATGTCCCGGAATTTCATGGTCAATCCCTTGGGTCGCTTGAAATCAAAGTAGGTGGTCGCCTGGCAACCAAAGTCCGCCATGTAGGGCTTGTACAGCTTGCTGAATCCCCTGCCCAGCTGCACCAGCTCCAGCTGCTCGTTCATGATAAAGTGCCAGGGAAACATCTTGCAGAAGCTGGACGAGTTCATTTGCAGATCGGAGGCGTTGCTCGAGTTGCTCCTCTGGACCGTTTCCGGTATAGTCTTGCTCACGGCAGTGGGCCGACCCATCAGCATGGTCTGTGAGTTGTCCTTGACCAGCGAGAAGAGGTAGCGATACCGCCGAGCATCGCCCTCCACGGGCTCGATCTTGATGTTCACGTCCACCTTGTAGAGCATGCGGGTGAGCGCCTTCAGGGAGCCCAGGAGCAGCCAGGCAATGACTGGGCGCTCCGAGGTGAAGATCAGCTCTCCCTCGCCGGCACACACGAATCCGGTATCGGTGACATCCTCCTGCTTATCAAAGGACTCTTTGTTCAGTATTAAGTAGTAACATTAACCTTATGTCTGACCTCCTGCAGCTTCAGCACATCGTAGACGCCATCGAGGGAGCCCAGAAATTCCTGCAGATCGGTGCCCAGGCAGCGAAAGGCTCTTTCAATGATGCCCGTGCAGCAGCAGGTGATCAGCTCCTCGCCGAGCAGCACCAGGATCTCGCTGGCACTGGCCTCGTCCATCTTCAGCAGCAGCTCCTGGATGTCCGCCAAGTAGTCGTAGTTGGCGCAGCTCTTGAAGGTTTGCGGATCCAGTTTGCTAATGTTTCAATACAAACAATATAAGCTAAATATCATTTCCTATGGTCTCCACTTACAGCTTGTGGATATTGGGCCAGTTCTGGCGGTACTTGGCCACCAAGGACGTAACTGCCGTGTTGAGATCCTCGTTCGACGGCGCCGTCAGCAGCTGGATGGCCATCTGGAGGTGCGTGAGGGTCAGGGCGTCATCCGAGAGCTCCTCGTCCTCGAGCGCCCAGTGGCCACCAGGCTCGGCGATGACCGAGGGCTGGCGTGTCAGCGAGTCCGCTCGCCTGAAGAAAGGGCACGCCATGTCGCGTGCTCGCCGCTCAGGTGGCCTGGAATCGATCTGTTTCGGGATTTTGTGCTGGAATTAGTGGCTTTTATAAACAATTCAATTATGGACCGCAAATCAATCCCTTAATGTGTAATTCATGTTTCCCTGTCCACAGCTTTCCATTTTTCCTAACTACTTAATTTTAGAGCCAAGCCAGCGGAATTAGATAGAAAGATACTAGATACTTTTTAATACTTTTAAAGCCCCAGCAAGAGCTTTCAATCAATCCAAGCGAAATTGTAATTAAGATGTGTGTTTTCCTCGGAGATACAGCCACTAAATCGATGTGTATCGTGCATTTTCCGCCCGGGGCTTTTCTCTGCTCATTTCTCAAGTTCAACGTGCACTTGTGTGAGTGGGCGTTTGGGTGGTTGGGTGGTTGGGTGGGTGGTCTGCTACGTGCACCACCCACTGGTGGCCCACATAGGCCCGTGTCCCTGCAGCGTCTTGTGTGGCCAACTCGAGTGGCTTTCCTCCTTGGAGGTCAAGTGTGTGGCAGTGCTTCTTTATTTCGTTCTTGGCAAGGATCCCACTCGTGCTTTCTGGCCAGTCGCATTACCATAATTTCATTTTGCATAATTTACGAGCGCTGCTCCTACTCCTGCCCCAATCCTGGCCAGCTGCTGTTGCCCGATGTGTGTCACACTGGTCAGCTTTAATTTTCACCACCTCCTCCTTTCTACAGGAGTGTGTATTTGCCTGCAGGAAGCAGGAGCCCCCCACGGATACACAATTTTCCAGCTCAATCGCAAGGTTTTTCCACTTGAGGCACTCGAACGCCTAACAGTAGCATACTTTTGGGCTAGCACTTACTTGGTTAAGAAAATGAAAATCCTTCACTGGCCTTTTGGCTTTATGCTCACTTTAAAGCAGTGACCACAATGGTTGTGGAAATTCTTGGAGCGCTGAGGAATTTTGTCGCACGCCTGAAAAATGCCACAATCCGTAACGGAATGAACTTTTGGCCAAAATAAGGTGGCGAAAAAGTCCAGAGCCAGCGAAGCTTTGTGGAGAAAGCTTTGGCAAGTGAAAGTGTGCAGAGGTTGTTGCATTGTTTTGAAGATACAAAGAGAGCGGCAGGCGGAGAGCGATTGCGCATGAGTATCTCACGGATACATTCTGATGCTGGCGGAAAAGCTCCGCCCGACGGTCAGTTCTCAATTAACCTGTTGCGTGAGCGGCGCTCTCAGAGTTTCCCGCTCTGCCCCAATAGCAAAGGTAGGAAATAATCAATCTGCCCTCCTGGGCCCGCAACTGTATCTGTATCTGCACCTCAATGTGTGGGGAAGTATCTGCAGAATGCTGCATATGCTGCACACCACATGTCCGGCTGAAAACTTTTCACTCTCCAGCAATCGGAAACTTTTCAGCGTACCGCCAGCCAAGTCCAGCGAATCGAAAACGTATACGAATATGATATGCCTCAGTTTATGGACGTTGGCCGCCCGTGCGCAACGTGGTCTTTTCCATTGTTTTCATTTCTGGGGGGCACTAGTTTTGTTTATTTTCGATTCCGCGCTCGCATCGTGTGAAAGTGCAGCTTGACTGGCCCTTTTTTAACCGTCTCTAATAGTCGTAATTTGCACTAATTACGGGCGCAATGAACGATTTCGGGCAGTTCGTAAGTAACGCAGGTTCTGGAATTCCTGCAGCTCAGGGTCTCAACTTTCACTGATAATACAGCAATTATGCGGAAAATACACTTGTGTGCCTGGCAGATGCTTTATCTAACCGCAGAAAGTGGAACCGACACACAGCACACAAAGCTTCGTCCTTGACCTTGCACATCTCTCAGTGCTCCGGACGGGGGCACTCCGAAAGCTCCTGCATCGAAAGCGAAAGTTCGAAGGACCTCTCGAGTGCGCCCTTCCCTTCCCCACAACTCCGTGCACACTTACATCTCGAGGCTCCGACGAGCCAACCCCAAGAACAAACGCCTTAATCTAATCAGCCCCAAAACGGTTCGATTTCCCTAATCTCTTTGTTTGGCTGTAGTTTGGACCTCCTCGCTTTGCTATAATCGCTTAAGCTATTTTTAGGCCAGGCAACATAAGAAGCCTCATAAGATTTAGAGATAATTAATGTAAATACTCAAAAAAGAACTATTCTAAAGACCACAGCCATTACAACATTACAATTCTAAAATGCGTTTTAGACAATATTAAATGATATCACTTATGTGATTATGTATTTTATCATAGGCAAAGTCGCAGGGCCCCAAGTTGGTGCCATTCCTGGTGACCCTCGTCCTGTACTTCTCGCTGGTGCGGAAGGATCCTCAAGGAGAGCTATGGACCACCGTGCTCAAGTGCCTGCCCATTTTCGCCCTGGCATTCTATGTGGTGGCCAAGGGCATCTCGCTCAAGAAGGAGTAAGCTTTATTACCCATTAATTTATTACCCATTACCAATTATTTTGTGCAGATACCGCCGCTCAGTCTGGATTCTTCTGGGACTGGTTTTCTCCAGCGGCGGTGATGCCCTGCTCAACATAAATCTCTTTCCCTTCGGAATGATCTCCTTTGGAGTGGCGCACGTATTTTACATCAGCGCCTTCGGCTGGAAGCCCGTGAAGTGGATCATTGGATTGGTTTTGTACGTGGCCGTATCGCTTTGTAAGTTATGTAAGCTGGTCATAATGCATATACATTAACGGGAGTATTTGAAACCCCCAGTTGTTTACTTCGTGCACACGAAACTGGACGAGATTCTCATCATCGGAGTGCCCATCTACTGTTTCCTGATCACCACCATGCTGTGGAGATCCCTGGCCCGCGCCGTCGATTCCAGGAACTTCCTCGCCGTATTCTGTGCCATCGGAGCCATACTGTTTGTGATCTCCGACGCCCTGATTGCGGTCACCATGTTCGTGGGCGTGCCCCTGCCCTGCGCCCGCCTCCAGATCATGATCACCTACTACGCCGCCCAGTTCGCCATTGCGCTGAGCACCGCGGACGACGGTCCTGCCCTCCAGCGCTCCTTTCGCAAGAAAATTAAGTGAGGCCAGTGCCCAGTGCTCATCTGTCGGAGACCCATGGACAACATGAACGCAACCACCAAACTTAGTACTTCCAAAGCGTCTAGAGTATTGCCATTTACGTGTGTTTGTTTCCCCATCCCAGTAGCTTAGTGCAACCAAATATTTGTTCCTTTTCTGGCGGATGTGGAAACGGATCTTAGTAGTTTACTAGATGTTTGTTGACTTCAAGGTAATAAATATATTCATATTAGGTTCAATACTACTTTATTAAAAACAATCTTTGTACATCATTAAAAACCTATACAGATTGTAACTTAAGGTGGAGCACGAACTAGTCGCTGCTGCTGGAGCTGCTCTCTTCTGAGGTGGAGTCCCGGCGAGCACGTCTCCCGCGTCCTCGCCCAGCATTGTTCCTGTTGGGCACTGGCTTGCGACCAGACTTCTTTGTCTTTGGCGCCGACTTGGTTCGGTTGCCCTGACCTTCCGGGGTGCTTTCCTGATCCCCAGGCTGGGCAGCGGAATCCGGGTTGACTTGCAGGCACTCGTTCAGTCGGTTCTCGAACTCGGTGACCACAGCTTTGAGCTCCGGCTTGGCCAGCTTGTTGGTGTTGCTAATGATCAGCTTGAAGGACTGGTACACCTCGTCCACTTGGACCTTGTCCTTGAAGTGCTGTATATTGTCCATGAGCTTTTTCACAGCTCGCTCGTTGTAGGTGAGCAGGCCGAGGCAGTAGGCGATGTCGCGCCATTGCCGCTCCACCCGCGTCACCGGGAACCGCAGGCACAGCTTCTCCACCAGCGTCTCAATCTGGCGATCCTTCTGGATGAGGCCCAGGATGTAGGACATGATAATGCGGTACTTGTCCTCATCCAGGTTCAGGTTTATATCCCCCAACCGTGAGATGATGTCCGGCAGCACGTTGTACAGAATGTTCGACTTGTTGGCTATCTCCTTGAAGAACTGCTTGGTGATATTGCGAATTTCATCGTTGCCGTCCACAATGCACAGCGCCATGTCGGCGATTTGACCCTTGACGCGTATCATCTCGTTGAGGATCAGATGAGAGAGCATTTTGACGGCAGTTAGCCGCAACTCGGTGTTCGATTCGTGCAGCTGAGCGTAGAAGTGCCCCGTCCATGGCTCGATGATGTTGGGGAAACGGAAAGTCAGATCCGATAGTCCCACCACCGTGTTGCACTTGATCCGGATGTTCTTGGTTAGGTTGAGGATGTTCATCAAAAAGCTCATGTTGGTCTCGCAAAAACGGGAGGATACGGTCATGAGCCGAGCCAGCGCCAAAGTGGCCGCCTGTTGCAACTTGGGATCTCCAAACTCACCAGGACGCTTGCATATTTCTATAATGAATGGCGCTAGCTTGGACAGCAGGGCGTCCGGGTTGTAAATCAGCATATCCTCGCAGATGCCGTGGATTTCCTCGGCGATGTTGTCCTCTGCAGTCGCTCCTACCAGATCATCGTCTGGCTCCTGCTGCGGTTCCGCCGCCACTCCGGACAACCTCTTGCGCACCTCCATGGCTGACAAATTAAGCGTACGTCTGGCGGCATTTTGTGAGCTTCCCGCCTGTTGATTGCGGTTGTTACGCTCTTCGAGAGCCGTCAACTCGTCGCGATACTTCATGTTATTATAGATGTCCATGTCGAGGAAGATCATCTCCTTGATGGTCATATAGCCGATACAGAACACTAAGCGGGATACCAGATACACGGGAATCAAGGTGCCTTGCATCTGTGATTGGGTATCAGCTTGAGTCTGTGTGGGGTTAATGGTCTGCGAGTAGGGAATCTCCAAGGGCTCCGATTCCCCAATATTTTCCTTATCCGCTAAGTCAGAACAAGAACCCACTTCAGCCGCCTCCTTGACCAGCCAGCTCTCATTGAATCGCTTGAGAAGAGCCACCACCAGTTGCTGTGCAATCACATCCGGCGCTTGGCACATCCTGTAGAAATATTCAAAAACACTCATGGCAAGACCATCGAAGTCGGGTAGATTCTTGTGAAAAAAGAAGTCGAGGAAGAGCCTCGTGATCTTTCCCACGAACTCCGCATCGCTGCTCTGGCGCTTATAATACTTGGCAGTGTTGTTGGCATCGATGGAGTTGACCAGCAGCTGCAGACAGGAGGTAAAAATCCGTGGATCGCGACGCACCCGCTCTCCGACGGCAATATCTTCGATGATGGGAGTGTTGGCCGAAACAATACTGGATTTCGATTGCGAGGCCATTATGAGGAGCTGCAGCGACAGGCGAGATTCGTTGGATGTAGTACCCTCCAGTTTTAGGGTGAAGCGCTCAAAGAGCACCTGGATGACTGCAGAATCGATGTCGCCACCCGACACCCACTCGGCCATTAGCGCCTCCAAGGCCGTGTAGTGACCATACTCGATTTCCGAGAGAAACTTGGACAGGTTCTGCACCACCTTGATGGCATGAGCGCGACCCGTTTGGTCCGTGGAGAACAAAACTCGCTTGTAGGCATCGGACACTGCATCACGCTTCTCCTTGTCCGAGGACCAGACCAGCTGCAGCATTCGCTGCATTCCCGACTCCGTGCCATGGATTCCGAACATGTACCCGGTGGTGAACAAGTCTACCGCCTCGAAAACGTCCGTGTTTGTCTTGGACATGAGCATCTCGTGAAGTTTGGGGAAGGCTGAAGTCATCAAGACTGCAAAGTCAATGCTGTCCTTAAGGAACTGCACCGTTTTGATCTGCTGAAGCATCTCCTCGCTCTAAAATTAAAGATTTGGTTAGTATGCAATATCTTTTTCTCAGCAAAAACATACACTCTGTTTGAATCCCGCAGCCAGCAGGTGATATGTTTTCAGCAAAGCCAGCACATACACGCAGTGCTCCTCGTGCTTCAGCAAGGAACTGAAAAGTAAACATATTTAATATAAGCTTTTTTCATATTTGATCAGCAACATACCTCATATCCTGATTTCCCGCCAAAAAGTCCACCTTTCGCACCAGAACAATAACGTCCTTGTAGTTCTTTTCCCGCATCAACGGGATGATCCGCTCCATCAAGGTCTCGTCGCTCTCCTCCTTGTCGAACTGCATATCGGGAACTGAAACATAGCAATCAACATTACAAAATACCCTTAACTACGGAAACAGCAGAAACTCACACTCTGTAAGGTTAGCCTCTATGAAAGGCAGCAGTTCGGGCGCCAAGGTGCTAAACTCGTCGTTGAGCTTCTCCTCCTGCTTGCGCTCTTCCTCGAGCACCTCATTAAGTTTTTCCATGGCTTGTACCTCGTGCTCATGCTTCGTTCGGAGTTCATCTATGGAAAGCTTGCTGCTGTAGGGATTGCTTTCCAAGGCGGACTTGATCAGATGCATGGCGGCACGTCGCACCAGCGAGCTCTTGTCTTCCAGCCTCCCGATGGCTTCCTCCAGCACTCTGGTCAGGAAGTTAAGCGGAATGGCGTGCTGGGTTTTTAAGTGATGCCAGATACTGAGGACCTTAGAGCGCACGTGTGCAGAAATGTCCAGGATGTGGGCCACCAGGTACTCGAGGAACTCATTGCGCACTTCCTTTAGCTCTTCGCTGAGATCCTCCGAGGTCAGTTCGCTAACCACGGTGTCGCCGATGATCTGCAGCACGCAATTGCGCAGCGTGTGAGACTGACAATCCAGTAGGTCTTCTGCCAGCTTTTCCAGGTGCGGTACGATCAGTGATGGTGCGATGTTCGAGAACTCGGCCAGGAAATTGGAGAAGTGCTTGGACACCGAAGAGTCAGAGCTGTCCATCTTTAGGGCATCCACAATGCTCTTGATTAGAATGGAGAAGACCGATGAAATTCCGTACTCCTCGTGCAGCAGTAATATTCCGGCGGCCACTGAAGACGATGCGTGCTCAGTGCCGCGTAGGATCTGCAGGATGCGGACTGGGAAGGTCATGGCCTGGTTGAAGCGCTTGATAGAGGTGCCCAGGATCTGGAAGATCGTGTCGAAGACGTGCTTGTTGTCCGCGCGAAGCGGCAGAAGTTCGATTGTTCGATAGCAAATGTCACATAGCAAACTGGAAAAGGTGGACACGTTTCAGATCGGTGAAATACGATTATTAAATCTTACTTTATGAAATCCTCCTCGGCTACGGGCGGACTCCAGAGATTCTCCAGCGGGCACTGCAGCACGTTGAATAGCTGAACCAGGAACTTGCCTCGCTTGCCCTCCCAGTTGGGAAATTGCTCCAATCCGTCCGAAGGTTTGGCCCGCTTTTTCTGAACATTGAGCTGCTGATCCCGCAAGGTCTGCTGGACAGCATTGTTGATCTTCTTGACGGTGCTCACCTGGAGGAACAGCGTCATCTTGGTCAGATTGAGGTAGCTATTGCGCTGCTGGTTGGACATGGGCTCACTGGCCGTTAGCAGGGGCTGCAAGTCCTGGAACAGTTTCTCCACGGTCAGGTAAAGCAGGTCAAAGGAGCGCATCAGATTCTGTGCAGAGGCGGCATCTGAGCTGCGGGACTCGAGGATCGAGTAATACAAGTCGAAGTGCTCGAATATATAGAAGGGATCGCCCAAGTGCACTTTGCGCTTGCATTCTGCGGAGGAAACATGAAAATCGTGATTCAAAAACTGTACTCAATTTAAAAAGCAACCGCGAAAACGGACACTCACCTTGTAGTTTCGCGGGAATCTCCGGGGCGCCAAAAATCTCCTTCACGTAGTACTGATCGCCACTGGAGTTGATCAGGTCACTTGCATTCAGGGGAAGAACGAACTGGAAGTCGTGCGATTCCTCCATGGCTGGTATTACTCCTATTTACCTCCAAATAATTTTTCCTTCTGCTGAATTGAGTGGCGTCGTTTATAGAGATGGGCACATTCACCGGCAATCGATCGCCTGATATCGGTTATCGGTAACTGATATCTGCAAAATAATAATGCCATTAATACACGGAGTGTATTTATATATGTGCAATTTATAACGCAAAAACTAAGTTGATATAGTTTTAGCAAAGTTTTATTAAAATTTTTTACGCTACTTAAAGTGTACCTGTTTCGAGAGTCCCCTTGATGCAAGTAAGCATAAGACTTATCGATAGTAATATCGAAATACTCGCTTCCCTACCATAGACGCCGTGCAAATTTGGAGTTTGATTTGTTTAAAGCAGTTTCTGTTTGAATTTATTGCCGTACCAACCCATAGCTGCTAGCAGATATCTTGACAAAATGCGTCCCCCAGAGTTCAAACTTAACAATCCGCCGGAGGACCTGATCTCCGCCGTGAAATTTGGCCCCAAATCGAATCAGTACATGGCGGCGTCTTCTTGGGACGGAACGCTTAGGTTTTACGATGTGCCGGCAAATCAGTTGCGCCAGAAATTTCTGCAGGATGCTCCCATTCTGGACTGTGCCTTCATGGTGAGACTCCTTTGTACACACACGCAATCCCCTATTAAACCCGCGATCCGCAGGACATAGTGCACGTGGTCAGTGGATCTCTGGACAACCAGCTACGTCTCTTCGATGTCAACACCCAGGCGGAAAGCATAGTTGGTGCCCACGAGGAGCCCATCCGATGCGTGGAGCACGCCGAGTACGTCAATGGCATCCTCACGGGCAGCTGGGACAATACTGTGAAGCTGTGGGACATGCGGGAGAAGCGCTGCGTTGGAACCTTCGAACAGAACAACGGAAAGGTGTACTCCATGTCCGTGATCGATGAGAAGATCGTGGTGGCCACCTCCGACCGCAAGGTGCTCATCTGGGACCTGCGCAAGATGGACAGCTACATCATGAAGCGAGAGTCCTCGCTTAAGTATCAGACCCGCTGCATTCGCCTATTCCCCAACAAAGAGGGCTACGTGATGTCCTCCATCGAAGGACGGGTGGCAGTGGAGTACCTGGATCACGACCCAGAGGTGCAGCGCCGCAAGTTCGCTTTCAAGTGCCACCGGAATAGGGAGCAAAACATCGAACAGATCTACCCCGTGAATGCCTTGAGTTTCCATAATGTCTACCAGACATTCGCCACCGGCGGATCCGATGGCATTGTGAACATTTGGGATGGCTTCAACAAGAAGCGCCTTTGCCAGTTCCACGAATACGATACCTCCATTTCAACGCTGAACTTCAGCTCCGATGGCAGCGCCCTGGCCATCGGGTGTTCCTACTTGGACCAGCTGCCAGAGACTCCGGTCACCGTGCCACATCCGGCCATCTATATACGATATCCCACGGACCAGGAAACCAAGCAGAAATAATGTTATCTACCGAAGCTCTTCATGTTTACGGCAAAGTTATACATCATTTTTTAAAGTAAGCTACTTAGAATACACTTTTAATTTCAAGCGCCTATCTTTGAAGAAAGCCCACATCAGCTTTCCCAGCACAAATGAAAGTTCTACAAAACTCATGACGGAGGCCCCTATATAGAGGCTTATGATGCCGCCAAAGTTGGCCAGTAAATCTATATGGGTGTACTTGAGTTTCGTAACGATTTTTGTCATTACGCGCTGGCTATAATAAACCTGGGCTTTTATCAATCGTTCTGTCGAGTTTTTTGGGCTATAAGAAGAAAAAATTTTACCATCTGTTGCTTAAGAATATATACTTGAACTTACTAATCCAATTTGCGCACATTAAGCGACATTTTGTACTGCCGAGAATTGCAATTATCTGGACAATCACAAAAGTGGCCTTGTCGTGAGTCGTTAATGTATTTCTCCTGCTCCCCCATCTTCACGTACGTGAATATATCGGAATTAAAGCCCAAGCAGTGTGCATCCTTAATTCCGCATTCCGGAACTCCCTCTAAAAAAAAAAAATTGATAAAGTGTGAGAGAAGCTGGTGTTATTCCAATAATCACCAATGGGAGGCAGAAAAGCTGGCAGGGAGCAGTGGCAGGTCTTCCATACAACTAAGTGGAGGCACACCGCCCGGCAGTTTTGCCGATTATAAGTCAACGAAGTGTTCTGGAAGCCAGGGTTCTTTTCGTTCTATGGAGTAAGGTATTTGGATTACTTTTCCTCATTAGTTGCCATCTATACACACGTCAAAGTAGCAACGTCTTTTGCTGGGACTCATTTCATAAGTATTTGTGGAGGTTTCCGTGACCATCGGATGCACAGCAACGAAGTTTTCCGTATCCGGATACAGGTGGTACATCATTTCATTGGACCATTGGCGTGGTTCCTTGATCATGAGCTTGGTAAGCAAAACAATTTAAACAAAATATCACCATTTGCGGGTGAATCGGCTACAGGACTTACGTTCAATCCAAATGGAGTCTGAGTGCCTATGTTGTTCATAAAGGAGTAGCTCCCATTGATCGTGAACTTCAGGCCCGATTCCTCGCCAGCGGTGCTCAACTTGTAGGGATAAAACTTGTTGGTCAGGTGATTTTTCCGGGAGTTTTCCGAAATCATGGAGTTGAAGACCAAGCAGTGGCCCTTCACCGTCTGCTCCCGCACAAAAAGCTTGCAGCAATCGTAGGGAGTCTCATCAAAGACACAGGAGTCGGCGACAAAGAGCTCATCGCATCGATAGGTCATATAGTTCATCAGGTCCGTCAGTTTCAGATGGCTTATCCTCGTCAGATTTCGATTGCTAAGAATCCTAATCCTCTTAAAGTTGGAGAAATTCATAATGTCCAGAATGGCAAGTAGTTGCTGAAATGTTTCCCGGAGCTCGGCACTCGGATGTCGTGGCAGAAAGCGGAGCAAGGCAGACGGAGCCCTCTGCCAATTAAAATGGCTCCACGGGCAAACGGCCACAGCTGGAAAGTCGATGTGGTACACTGGCAACTGGGTGGTGTCTATCAGGCTGACCAGGAGCTGCTCGCTGTGGCGATGCCTCAGCACGGTGTACAGACTGAATCCGGTGATCACCGCTGCCAGGACGATGGTGAGCCACAGGCAGCGCTGCCAGAGATGCGGCTCCCCAAAGACGTGCTGCATCCCGGGGATGCTGGAGTGGGCGAAGGAACTGCGCAGTCTTTCGCGGAACTTCAGACCCGCTGGCTTGTTCCTGAAGCGGAGCAGTCCTTGTCTCGGCCGCGGAGCCACGAGTTCTTTGGTGTACAGCAACATGACGAATGGAAGAAGTTTGCCAAAGTTTTGCTTAGCCGCCTGCTCAATGAAATGTATGGGTTGGAAGTAATTGCTAGTCGGAGTAACTTATTAATAAATAGAAGCTTTCATTGAAGAAGCAACTTGTACAAATGGGTTTAATACCCATATGTGGCACTTTCCCCAGTGAACCGAGCACAAATGCACAAACTTTTATGGGAAATCAATTACTTTATTAACTAAATTAATGCCTATCAGTACATTCGTCCATTGCGAACCCACTAGGCCTTGGGGGCCAGGCTCTTCTTGATCTGGGCTAGGTGGCCCTTTAGCAGGCAAATGGCTCCGCGGTAGGCCCACTCACAATCATTGGATCCCTGCTCGTTCTTGTCCACACAGGCGGCCAGGGAGGCGTGGAAGGCCTCGTTGTGGTCGGCGTGGCTGCCCACCAGCTGCTGGTGGATGTTCTCCACGCTGAAGCCGCTGGAGACGTCGAACAGGTTCCACTTGGTGAAGACGCACTTGATGTAGCACTGGGTCTTGGCGTCGTTGGGGTACTCCCAGTTCTGGTACTTCTCCACCAGATCCACGGGCACGGCCAGCTCCTTGACGCACTCGTCCCGGTAGGCCAGCATGTCGTTGCGGTTCTTCACCACATAGTCAGCGGCGGCGGAGGTCTTTAACCCAATGGAAGGCGATGAATTATTCTGGACCTGGTCGCAGGTTATCTCAATCGAGCACTCACCAGTCCAATCAGCACGCAGATGGCAACGAAAACCTTCATATTCACTTTCTGTTCACCTATTTCTCCAGCGATCGAGCGCAGACTGATCCCAAATAGGGCCTGGCAGCCCTATTTATACGAGTCCGAGGGATCCGATATGGGTTCGGGAATGGACTTGGTACCTGAGGGGTCTCCAAGGCGCGATTATGCTTCCAGATCCCCATTTTATTTTTACACTCCGCTCCAAGCTGGGCAACTGATTCTTTTGTGATGGGCTTTAAGCTTGGGCACAAGTGGACAACAAAGAATTTCTGGATGCCATCTAATGACCTCCATAGGGAGAGTCGCTGATAAGAGTGCTCCCCTCCAATCTTTGCAAATTGGCGCGTTTGTTTTGTTGTTGCTGAAAACAGATTAATACACATGTTTAGCAAGCGCAGCACATTTGGTACACTACAAAAAAATGCAGTGTCTTGCAAGAAAGTATTGAAAGTATTTGAAATGACATTCATTTGTGAATTTTATTGATTGATTATGCATGTACATTTATTCGGAATTTATTAACTATTTATTTATGGCAAAGTTGCAAGCTACTTATGGAAATAAATTCCTTTAAAGTGAAAATGAATTTCTGCGATTTAGAAACAGCATTCTTATTTCATTCGTTTTGCTGAGTGTAGCTGAGAAAGCCTATAGTTTGTTAGGTCTGGTTGGCACTGCACTTGAAAATTTTCCACTGCCTGAGCAGGTAGTTCTCCGAATGGGTTTTGTTTTCTCGACTCATACATGTGCCCATCCCAGGAACCAGGTGAGTGGTGCCTTTGTGTGCGCTTCGATTACAGGTAAGTGTGGGAACCTGAGATCCCAGCTGGCCCTAGGAACCTTGTGGTAGACGACAGCAGGCGAAGTGATCCAAGATGTTGTTGAAGCAGCCCAGCACCGAGATGCCCATAATCAAGCCGGCTATTCCTCCATAGGAAACTGCAAGTAGAGCGGATGGATACATGTCATCGCGCATGTGATTGGTTCCAAGCTCACCCATCAAGTCGATCAGCGTGAAACGCAGCATGGAGCGGTAGGAGAACAGGGTCTCCTCCTGGAAATACACGTCTATCTCCACCTCCGCGCCATGGCTGCTGTGGGTGCTCAGCTTCTCTGTGTAGGTCGACGTGTGGTACTGGGTGTGATCGCACTGGGGAAAGCAGCCACAGTCCACGGTGTTGAACACGTTATCCCGGGACTCTTCGATGATGTTGCTCATGGAAAAGAGGGAAACTAAGAGATGCATTATATATTTCAACGACTTAAGCCTAGAATTAGACCCACGTCTGTGCCTATTGAAGCAGGCCAGATCCTTCACACCGCAAATTCTACGCCCGTTGCTTTGCTTTGCATCCGTAATGTTGGCTTCATCAAGGATGGCCTGCACTGGCAGTTCCAGGGAGCAATTGCACTTGCTGAAGATGTAGTTAAAGTGGCACTTGTAGATGCACTCCGAGCGCGACCGCCCCTTTGGGATTTCGTTCTAGGGTGAAATTTGGTTATGGAGTTTAAGTAATTCTAGCCCAGAAAACCAACCGCAAAGTAACAACGACGCATTTGAACAGGACGGGCCCGGACCTCCAGTTCGGCAGTGAAACGGAGTGGTTCCACCGGAACCACGATGCGGTCCTCCGAGGAATAGTCAATGCTCATGCCCAGCAGCTGAGTGGGTTCGTGCACTATCACCTGGAGTGGTAATCACTGCCATGTCATGACCTACTATCTATGTGCTATTGGACTCACCCCCAGGGTATTCAAGGTGTACAGACTGTGCTGCCGTTTGATCTTCACATAGAGCCCGCTGTAGGATCCCGATGCAGCCACGGACCAGGGCCAAGTGTCATCCTTTCCCGAGGACACCAGCGAGTTGAACTCGAAGGCGAAGCCATTGAAGGTCTTGGTGGGTCGGAACAGGTCGCAGCAGTTCATGGTCCTGCGACGCCACTGGCACTCAATGAAGAAGTGCCGGCAGTTGACCTGCAGCGACTGGTAGATTCCCCAGCTCGTCATGTTCCAGTTGTCCAATTCGGCGAACTCCGTGAAGTTGTCATCCGTGAGGTGGGCTGACATCGGGGTTTGCCAGATCACGGACTGAACCAAATTGTAGGCCTTGGTGAGCTTCTCCGCTTTCAGGCTGCTGAAGTGGATCGGGATGATGGTCACGGCTGGAAAAACTATCTCGGACACGTGCATGTCGGTCCTTTCGATGGAGGTCTGCACCCAGTAGTAGAAGTACCGCTCCGAGGACAACATGCTCACATAGACGGTGGCCAGAGCGGCCATTATTTTCATGGGTATTCTAGCGTATCTGCGGGGAAAAGCGATTATTTCTGGATACGAAAAGTAGTAGGCAGTCGTGAATATCACTTACCGCCTGGTCGAGGCCCATCCATTCGCCTGCTTCTTCTTCTGCTTCTTCGACTCCCCGTGGTCATCATCATTAGCCTCGGAGGCGGGCTCTGGCTTCCAGGCGGTGGCACTCATTTCACCCAGCGGACGAACTGCGACTGTGGGAAAATCTCGCTAATTGGCAGTTCGGTGCGCTAATCAATGAGCAGACAACCACTTCTGTCAGCGGGCTTATCGATGGCAGGAAACATAACTACTCAATTACAAAGCTTGTGAGCCATAATGGATGGGCTAACCGGCGGAACTTGGCCCGCTGCAATTACAAGTCAACTGGCCATAAAAGGGTTCCGCGCATTCCGGCCAAAAGCTCAGTGATTGAGTGACTCGTCACCGGAATGGCCAGTGGCGATAAATCGGACAAGCCGACGGAGGCAGCTGAGAAGTGTCTCGTGGATTTGCTAAAGGTCCACTTTCGGAGCTACTGCGAAAAGTCCACCATTCACTGCGTTCGCTACTTGTACGATTCAAACCTGCACAACTTGGAGAGGTTTGTTCATAAGCATTAAGACCTATTTTCTAAAGAGATATTCTTCATTTATATTATATACTTTTAGAATCATCTGGTCCGGGCTGCTCATCATCAGCATCGCACTGTCCTTCTTTTTCTACCTCCTGCTCTCCGAGCGATTCGTTTCCCAGAAGCTGCAGACGGTGGTGCAGGATCCCCAGTACCCCGTATTCCTTGTGCCATTTCCGGCCGTGGCCGTGTGCACGGACAACCGCATCAACTGGAGGAAGCTGGAGGCGGCCAAGGAGCAGTTCCTGCCGACGAATCCCAGCGTGGAATTGCTCGAAAGTTTCACCGTGCTGGTTTCCCGGATGGAAACTCTTCGCTTTGGCAGTTACCTATCGAGCTTGGCCCAGCTGGAGAACGACAATCTGGAGGCAGTGGCTTTTGTGAACCTCACTGAACTGGCAGTTTTCCTGACTCTCAAGTGCGAGGATATCATGGTACCGAAGTCCTGCCTGTGGCGCAGTTCCTCCTTCGATTGCTGCGAGTACTTCGTGTTGGAGAAGACGGAGTTTGGGTTTTGTTTGGTTTTCAATTCGGATATTTCGCCACGCTCCCAGGCAATTAAACAGAAGGAGGGTCATAACTTCTATCCGAGGCACAATGCCAAGGCAGGTCAAAGTTCGGGCTTGAACTTTGATCTAATCCTGAACGACAGCTTTAGGCGACCCGATTCGCAGACAAATAATAATGTCTACGTGAGTATCAATGACAGGAAGTAAAGTATTAACCTGCTATAAGGAACCATACCCAGGTAATGATCAAAAAGCCCCACCAACTCAGCAACGTCGTGTATTCCATGACCCAAAACACCGAGACCTACGTGACTGTCCGTCCGGATCTCACTTGGACGGACAACTCCACGCGCAGCATTCCGCCGGAGCGCAGGAACTGTCTCTTTGCGGACGAGCAGGGCGACCTGAACTCCAATGACTCGGCCCAGAAGTATGGGAAGCCCTTTCAGCTCTCCAACTGCCTCAACAGATGCCACGAATCCTACCTAATCCAGCTCTGCAACTGCTCCCTGCCCATTTTCTTCCTGAATAACAAACGGGGTGAGTCCAAAGTTCACTGTGCCAGCTCATAACTCTGTTAAGTCTTAATATTTTCTTTCAGTGCCGGAATGCAATGCAGTCAGCCTGCGCTGCCTGGCTCGTCACAATGGTAGGAGAAACGGAGGACATTAATTCTGGAAATAATACCCATCTGTTGCAGACATTTTCAGCTACGACAAGCGGAGGGACGAGGATGCCCTTTTCAGTGCCACCAAGCTGGGAATGACCTGCTCCTGCTTGGTGGACTGCTACCTGCTCGAATATTACACAGCCACCACCACTCTGCCCTTGTCAGCCCATAAACTGTAGACCCAAATGGCACCTTCTTTGATTTCCTGAGATATCTGAAACCATTCTTTGCAGACCCAAGGATCCGCAGCAGAAACTCTTCAGGGTGGATGTGCACTACCAAGTGGAGACCACGCCTTTGTACCGCACAAGCCTGGAGTTCACCATCATCGATCTAATTGGTAAGGCAGTTTGCTGGCTAGGCAGTCATATAACTGGTGTACTTGTATTCGCAGCCAATCTGGGTGGCATCTTTGGACTTTGCCTGGGGGCTTCTATGGTGAGTGCCTTCGAGCTGATTTACTATCTCACTGTGGGTCTCGCAGTGCATCTGTATGACAACCAGTACTATGGGGTCTTACTAAAGCACCTGAAGGTTAAGTGGTCAACTTTCAAGGGCTACCTCGGCAACGAAGTTGAGATTCCTGCTGCCCACAAGGATGCTAGTGACAGCCAATTACGGCATCCCTTTAAGCACAGAAAAAATGCATGGTAATGATGGTTTCAGCTTGAAATTTATTAAATGTTTAATGTCAAAACTTAATGGGCGTTATTTTCCTCTGGCCAAATGGAATAGTTACAACGCGGGGTTGCGGCTTTTTCAACTTTCTCTTGTCATGAATGTACAAATAGAGGCCAATTGAGAAGTAGTAGGCCAATTCGAAGGCGCTCAGCAAGGAGGCTCCCAAAAACAGCCCTATTATGCCACCAAAGCTGGCTGAAAAGATAGAATAATACAGCATAAGATGAAGCTTTAAAAGACAGCCATTGCCTACCCAGTAGTTCCACAAAGGTAAACCTCATGGTGGTTTGATATTGGATGAACCATCCGGACTGGTAGAAGATATCCAGTCGCATTGTGCCCGCCTCGGTGTCCGTTTCATTATTACTGCACAGGATTTTAAAGATTTTTAAGAATTTTAGTGGGTGACACATAGGATTCACTTACTCCAAAGTGGTGGTGGTGAACACCCTGTCGAAAATCAGCTGAGTGCAGCTGGTGAAGCAGTCGCAGATCATGCTCTCCTTGAAGGGATTCTTAACGTAGTCGTCCTCCTCGGGATGCCGTTCAATGCTGAAGGTAACTATGATAAAGAGCAGTCAAATTACTCCATGTCAGATGTCCTTGAAGAGATCTCACCCCTGTTGTCGTAGAGGCACTTGAAGTCCGAGGCTTTGCACACCGTAAAGTTATCTGTGAAGTTGCAAAATAATGAGGAAGTTCATTCACGTAATAGAAGATCAAGTTACCCTTGTCAGAGATGGGAAAGAAGATAGAGGGGGAGCACTTGCACAGTTGGATGACATGTTCCTGGTGGCACCGGCTCCGGCAGTTCCCCACCCAGTAGTCGAAGTCCGGAAAATTCTTGTAGTGCGGATTGTGGACCTCATCGGCAAAGATGCATCGCCTGACCTCCGGAGTCACCGCTCGGGTTCGCTCATCCGTGACTGTGAATCGGGGCGTTACACTGATCCTGGTGTGGGCCTCATGTGGCACATGGCGCACCACGTCGCTCCACTGCTGCGGCTGCTTGATCATCACGTTTATGTCCCGTTTCCCAGGACGAATGTAGGATCTGTTGAGCCGCACGAAGACATCCAGGCCAGAACCCTCGCCATACTGCGGGGTGCGCAGGGGATAGTATTTGTTCTCCTTCTGCAGTTGCGGACACACAGATACTTTGTTAAAATCCCAACTTATTTATAACTACTTAATTGTTATCCCTGGTATGGGTTTACTCACGGCTTTTTGTCGCGATACCGGACTGATTTCCGTGTTGAAGACAAAACACAAGCCGGACTCTGTGAACTGATACTCAATGAGCTCGCAGCAGTTTACTGGGTTTCCCCGCCAGTGGCAGATGTGAAACAAGTCCTGGCACTTGAACTGGATGAACTTGTAGACCTCGCGAAGGTCGAGGTGATCCAGCATGTGGAGCTCATCAGACAGAGTTTTATTCTCAAAGAAGTTGGACATGTCATTCAGGCGCGCCAGGTGAGGATCGCCTGCCGCCGTGAAGAACTCTATGAAGAGATGCTTTTGGGCAGCAGACGCGTTGGCGCCCAGGAAGTGATGCACTGCCTCGTTCTCGAGTACCATCCAGTTCAGACGGTTCCTGGGACAGAAGCCAATCGAGGGAAATGGTATGCGGAAAATCGGGAGCATCGTGTTCCTAATGGTGGTCTGTATGCGCACCCTTTGGTAAAGTTCGTTGAGGTCCACATAAACCACTATGGCACCTATGCTGGTGGCCACCAAAATCAGCAGCCAAATCAGCCTGAAGTGTGAAGTGCAGCTAGCGATTGAATCGAGAAGTTAAGACCTTTTAGAACAGCTTACCTCTCGAACTTCCTCATCTTGGGATCCGCCAGATATCTTATGCCGTGCACGGAGGACCCTTCTGCGTAGTCCTTGAGATATGGCAGCATAAAGTGCCACAGTTTTCCCAAGCGCCTGCCCTTCCCGGCATGCCGCTGCGTCGGGATGAGTCCCGATTGGCCGCCATAGTCCCTGAAAAGTGGACGACGGACTCTGGGCAGTTCCAGTGGATAGAACATGGCTCCACTTTGGAGCAAGGAAAATACTTGGATGCGCCCCGCTCGACGGGTGCAATTAAATTGGACATTCAAATTTAAGTTAGCGCAGAGGAAAGCCTCCGCAGCATTGAACTCAATCAAAAAGCAATTATTCGAAATGGTCGGGTGGGCGGCTCCGGATCTTGACTGGCTCTCCTGCCCCGCCAAAGCTTAAATCACGCACACAATTAACACTCGAAGCGGCAAGTGCGGGTGGCAGGACTAAAAGTGGACAAGGACGCGCCACTTGTTTACTCAACTCGATTCGGGATGGCGGGGTGCAGTCGCTGTCCATTGGCGGCGTAATCCTCCGTTGGCTCTGCTGTTTGTTCGTTCATTAAAAGGAGCTTCTGCAGTCGGAAAAACTGGTGAAGTACTCCGAGTATCTCAGAGAATCTAAAAAGCAAATCGTTTTCCATGCATTTTGTACATATTTTTGAATGAAAGCTTGAATGTCGCGCTAATTTGATTTATTTATTTGGATTTATTTCACCGCACAGCAGTTTTCTCCCAGTGTAAGTGCCAACCACTGGCGGTCGGAGGAGTCTGTGTTACTTTTTATTGAGTGCTGGTCAAATGGAAAACTTGGGTAAGATGTTGGACATTTTTGTCAAGCTTTCATTCCGATTGTCTGTCGCTCCGAATTGTTTTGTGTAAACAACTGAAAATATTTTCGATTTGTCATTGCGTGCATTCCCATTCCCATTCCTTGGCTTTGACATTGTTGCCCTCTTCGATTGCCAGGATTTCGGTGGCTTGGCTGCGTGATTTATTTGGCCAACAAACTATGCCCGAGTTTCTCCGACTTGATTTTCTGCAGTTGCGTGTTTAGCGCCACGGATTAAAGTCGACTTTTGGGGCAAAGCGGATAATGTCGTCTTGCATTTGCGTTGGCCCTGCTCCAATGATGCCAGCGCCCAGTTATTAGCCAAGTTAGTTAGTTGGTGGAAATGAATGTAATCAGCAGACGAAACAGATTATTCCCTGTACCAAAAGTTCCTGGGAAATGCATTTTTCCCAATTAAAAATGGTTCTGAATATAAGAAATTACTTTTTTAGTCAGCTAAAAAGCTAAGCTATCAAAATCAACCATTTTTTTGATGATTAGGTAACAAAATTTTTTTTGCCCATTTTTCAGTTTTTTTTATAAGAAAATCCATTTTTTCCAATTAAAAGTGGTTCTGAATGTAGGAAATTACTTTTTTAGTCAGCTAAAAACCTAAGCTATCGAAATCAATCAATTTTTTGATGATTAGGTAAAAAAAAATTTTTGGCCATTTTTCATTTTTTTGTAAGGGGTACCATCACAATTTTTTGCAAAAATGGCAAAAAAATTTTTTTTAAATTTTTCAATGTAAATTGATGGGTAGCTTTAATATTAGTTTAGACAAGCACGGAAATTCATTTTCGGACCATTTTTTCCCACATAACGTCTATCCGGTAAAAGGACAGCACGTCAGATCCTTTGGGTTCATAACTCCACCCACAAGGATGCACACGTGGTTTCCTGCTAATCCTGGCATTATGGACAACCCGAATGGACGCCAATTAGCGTGGTGTCAATCAAACATCCCGACTGTCTGCTCAGAATCTGAATGCCAATTGATTTGTGTGCTCGTCCTCGAATTTTCGGTTATGCTCTGGGGTTTCAGGTGAAGTTGGGCTTGCAAACCGCTCAGCGGGGAAATGACAATTTCAGCATTTTCAACATTGATTGATGGCCATTAATTCGGGTGTATCACTGGCCAAAACGCCAGTGAAACTAGTTCGCAACTGCAAGTGATTTGTGTGGACAATCAAATTACTCAAACTTATGCACATATTTCGCGGATTTTCCGTGATGCTGCTACTTTATCTGCATTATCCAGACATCCACTTAGATGCTCCGTGACTTTAAGCTTAAGTTACCTCTAACACAAAACCCTTTCGATCCGGCTGATTAAATCGTCGCGGGCCACAGCTCCCCACTATGCACAGTGGGGCAAAGTCCGCTGATGAGCGGCTATAAATAAAATTCCAGCAAGCGCACACACATGACACACTTAATCGACTCCGAACACACGTTAATGACTTCCGCCTTGGCCAGAAACTTTCGGGCACACTTTCAGTTTCACTTTCACTCTAACTTTGGCTTTGTATCCCTGCGCGTGTGCAACAATTTCGCATCCTCGTCGGAGGCGTCATCATCATCATGAATCATCCTCATCATCTACTCGTGGCGGGGTTCAAGTTCATGTGGCCTATTAGGCACAGACACCCGGGATGGCAGAAAGTTAGGTCGATTGCGAATCAGAAACGTGGGAACGGAGCGACTTTCGTGGGCCACCCGTTCAAAATTCAATCTCACTTTTATGAGCCAACAGAAACGTGACGAGGCACCGACTGTCACCGGAGTGACAGGATCAAGGAGATGGAGCAGGAGCAGGAGCAGCAGGACCAGGACAAGGACAAGGACCGGGACCCACTGAATGTTGCCAACTGCCAGTTAGACTGTCAAGTGTCTGGCGAAAATGCCATTTAAATATGCAAATTCCTTTCAAAAGCGAACTTTAACTCGTTCGCTGGCACGCTAATTTGCATGTTTCGCCGCGCCGCAAAGGCTTTGTCTTTGGTGCGGCCCCAAAATGCTCGAAAACTGCTCCGTAATTGCGTTTATCTTTTGACGGGTAAATCCTGGAAGACAAAAGTCTGGGCGCCATCACTTCCGGTCGCTAAGCTGTCATAAACAAGCGCAGTAACGCGTGTTAATTATTTAATAATATTACGCGGATTACCAGCCATGAGCCCGAACCGTCATTTTGCCATTTCGCCATTTCGCCAGTTTGGCTGATTGATGGGCCAGCATTTTCAACATTTTGCTCTGCTGCTGCCTTCTGCTTCCGCCTCCTTTCCATTTCCGTTTCCGGCGGGAAGCAAAGATTTGCACTCCCATCGATGGGCTGTCAAACGGCCAAGGCTGGCGGCTTGTTTGGCCAACGGAAAGGTGTTTTGTTTATATCCAATCCACGGCAGGACGAAAGGCAGCCAGCAAGGACTCGTGGCGGCAGAGCAGCGCTTGTCGCTCGCAAGTAATTTGAATAATTTTCTGAAGAAGTGCAAAATTTGCATATGAAATCTGCAATCTCGCATGCTGAAAACGGGGTGGCAGGAGTTTTTACACACATTTGCAGCGCCAGCTGCATTGACTCAGGCGCATTCAGGCAGCAGGAAGTTCGTTCTGCTCCTGATTCTGGTCCTTTGGTCCTGCAGGCAAAGAAAAAAAGTTAGGAAAAGCCGCTTTCGAACTATTTTTACCCAAAAATCAAGCAACGAGTGTTACGTTCAAAGTGATCTGCCCAAATTAGTTGCATAAATAGATGTCCAGTTGCCGCATTGGGAAGGCTCCCCGTTTTCTCGCAGTGTGCTAGGGATTTGGCGGGCGGTCGGGGCGAAAAGATGCTTTTAACTTGTCTATGCAAATGCAAATGTTTGTACGCAATCGAGGAATAAACAAATGTGCTCTGCGAAAATGTGTGCATGTGCGTTGCCCTTGTCGAGTAGTTCGCTTCGGAAAAAGTTGGGGGAGGAAAAGCGAGTGAGTTGTGGGCGGAAGGAAATTAAGAAAACTTCTTATAATTGATGTCATGCATTTTTAATCTCATTGCAGGCGGCCTGCCATTTGCATTTTCCTATTCTCAATTTGCCTATTTCATTTCGACTCGGTTCGCAGCACAAAATTTGCCAACATATGTATTCGCATATTGGAATACTTGTTGGCGAAAGGATAACACTTAAGCTCTCAATTAAAACACTTTGCCGGATGCTCGGCTCAACTCGCTTTAGTTGGGCAGTTCTCCAATGTAAACACTCGCATTATGGCTTTCTTCACAATTTTAATTACTCCTCGCAGACGGAATTCCTTAATTTGCTGCTCTTCACACATCCTGGACGTGGGCGAAATAATAAAAACGCTCTTTACACATGCAAAATGCAATAAATGAGAGCAGAATGCACTCTGCCAGGCATCAAGTACCAAAAGACCGGGCTGCCAGGACACGCCGGAGATCCTTGTGTCCCCCGGAAATACTCGTGTGCCTGGGGAGCTCGCCCCGTTTAAGCCCGGGGTATTTAATTTGAAAGTTTGCTTAACAACTTTTTAAATACCTAATGTGCCAAACGGGTAGACAAGTATTTCGTGTGCCAAAAATGCTCCACGTGGCATAATTCGGTGGGGGAGCCTTGGCAAGGATAACCAAATTATTCGAATTGATGCTGCAAAGTTAGCCTTAAATTTAAACTTCAATCCAAGCTGTTAAGGGAAGGAAAAGTGTGTTAGATAGATATAAATTGTAAAATAGCAGCAGTTACTACAAAACAGAAAAGGAAACATAACTACTTAGTACTTAAGACCTACAAGAGAGTTCTTGGGTGCACGTAGAATTTTCTACATTACGCATTTAAGCAAAAAGTTAACAATTCGATTACTAACGAATGATTCACAAACCGCTCCTGGAAAATACTGTTATATCGGACGGAGCGTGCAAGCAGTATCACACTTTCGAGTCTGCGCAGCAAGGACCAAGAATTTTGGCGCCAAGCGAACAGCTGGAAAAACGCCGGGCTTTGGGCCGAAGGGATTTCCCGAACGAGCGGCCCGCAAAAGTGTGCTACACAATTCGTGTTATCCTGGCGGTTGCAACAAATGTCCGTGTGTGCGTGGCGTGTGGGTGTGACAGTGTGTGTGCGTGCGTGTGTGTGTGGGTCGGCTGCTGCTGCCTCCCAGCGAACCGTCAATGGTAGCTTCTTGCAGGCAGAGCTGCCATCATCGTCCTCGTGTGTTATCCTGCCAGCTCGTCACTCCACGCAGGCCGAGCCGAAGTCCTCGGCCGAGCGAGTCCTCGTCACTCCTGTGCTGTGAGCCTTCGCGGCAGGTCCTGGCCGCGTTCTTCCTCCGATTTCGGGCGCCTTCAGTCGCTTCAGTGGCGTCCTGGTCGCGCTGGACTCTGCTCCGCCAATTGGCCAAAATCAAGTTTTGTGAATGAAATTCGCGAGCGAACTCAGTGAGTGAATGAATGAGTGAATGGACACGGTGTCGTCAAGTAATCGTGAATAAAGTGATTGCATCAAAGAGTGCTGTACTAATTAATTACTCAAATAAATGAACTCTCAAAGGGTACATATAATATAAATATTAAAATTTTTTTTGGTGATTCTTTTTAAGGGAAATAATCAATGAAAAGATACAAGATTCAGGCAGTCTCTTGATTTGCTTTTACTTTATTAGATTTGAAACAAAAATTTTCTTAAAAATAATTTAGCATAGCATCTAAACAATTATCGTAACTGCTTAAATTATCTGAATTTATTTTTAGTTGTTCGTATGAATTGCTCTTGCTACTAATAATTGTATAATAAATTTGCAAATATTTTAAAGCAAAGAAAAATTTTAAAAAACCTAATTTTGAAGTAATAATCAAAGAGCTTACTGAATATTCACTACATTACTCCATTTAGCGATAATCAGAACAAAGTGCTTAAGAGAAATACAGTACTAGCAAGAAAGCATCAATAATCAATCGGGAGTTCGAACACTTTCAAAAAATACACTTAAAAGCTAATGTTCGACCGGAATCTGGCAAATCGAATCAGCTGCAGCAAACCAAACGAGTTAACGCAATGCGGTCCTTCTTGTCGGCAGTCGGGAACGGCTTGTGCGGGTTGTATATCCTTGGTCCTGGCTGGTTTGCGGCCAGAGAGTCCTGCCTTCGTTAAGTGATTAATCATGCTCGTATATTTTCCAAGTGAAATTCAATTTGGACCGCAACGTCAGTGCAAGAACCACAACAGCCGTCCAGGCGACAGCAAAATATAAGGAACACAAAACTGAAAAATAAGGCACCGGAATTTTCGAAGGACATCGCCACGGGGCAACGGCAACAGGACGTGCAACTGCAACATCGATAGGGAGAGAAGGCAGGAGGAACTGCACCCAGCGGTGAGTGTGGATTGGGTCCTCATCGTCGCCCCAAATCCTCTGCAACTCCTGTGTTGCAGCTCCGAGCTGAAGCTGCAGGAGTCAGAGGAGTTGCAGTGGCAGGACGAATCCCTGGGTCGAAAACTGGGATCGAAATCAAAGCTGGCTTGGGTAAAAGTTCGTCAATTTTCCTCTATTTATTTGGCTCTTTATTTGTGCCGAACAAATTAGTTGCGTGGCTGTCCTTTTTGGCAGTACAAACAAGCCGGAGAATAACACACAAGATACACGAGGACGTGCACACAGGACCTTTTTCGCAGCGGGACGTAATTGAAGCCTCGGGCACTGTGTTTTTTTAGTTTGGCAATTTAAATGTAAAGCAGGGGCAAATCAGGGCCGAACATTTAGGTTAATCATACGCCATGTTGTCCCGCGGCAGTTGCTCAAGCAGTCCGCCTGCTTTGCATAAATTAGTAAGTTTTTACTTTGGTTTCTCCCGGTTGGAAAAGCGGGAAAGCGGGCCAACATAATCAGGACACAAGGGGCATCCGTCTGCAAGTTGTCCTCGCCACTCCCGCCATATAAATCAATTTTAATTTAATCGCTTTATCGCTCTAATAAATCATGCCGTTTATGAGGATGCGAATGCGGATGCGGATGCGGATAGCGCGATTGTTGTTAACAATAAAGCGGAGAACTGCTGACAAAAAACAAAATTTAAATATCAAGTTGAGGCGCCAGCCAAAGACGACGGATGATGACGGCGACAACGGAAAACAAAGGAAAAAACTTTCTTCATTAAAATTTTTAATGACTTTCCCTCTATTTGCGCAAGGTAATGAAAGTCAACAGCGTCACTATGTTGGTGTATACAAATATATACGCGTACACGTTCTTTTTTGCCGATGCAAATTCTATTCGGAAAGTCTTTTGTTCTTCTCCCTCGACTTTCTGTGGGCAATTTCATTCGCCATAGTTTGAGTTTGTTTCGATTGACTTTTTTAGTCCGGTATTTAATTACATTACGGTCGATTAGGGCGTAACAAACCCATAAAACATGTATCGGAATACCACATCACAAAAAGCCGACATAAAAGTGAATTCCAGCGAACCGAAACTGACATTATGGTTAATTAGACGGCTCATTCTTGTGCAAATTCCAGCTGCCTTTGTTTGCCCATTGATTTTATAATTAAGACGCATTCCTGGCAATTAAATCGCCCTGCCCACTCCGCCCATTCCCGACCTGACCTAATACGAGTGTGACTGTCTAATATCCGGTTCTTAGCCCCAGCACCTCGAGGTCCTGTCCTGGCACTAATAGATTAGCAATTAAACGCCACACACCATTAATGGGTAATAGTACGCCGAGCTCGAAGGATTCGCTCTCCAACAATCTGTGAGCCATGTTTATGTCTCTGTGTGTGCCTCTGCCTCTGTCTGTGTGTGTGTTGTTTATGGCACGCCCCCACCGAGCACCGCCCCTGATGTGTGTACACTACGCATAATGACAATGGCAGCCAACGCACACATGCGAAGTTGATAGCTCGCTAAACTATTTATTTGCATATAAATATTTCAGAACAGGTCCTAGCACACAGTCGTATGTGCACAGCTGCGGCCACATTAATAGCAGCCTGCAGCCAAGTGCTGGAGCTTCGCATTCTGCACACCGAATTGCCGGTGGTTTTGCTGATAAATATATTTATTCGGCACATATTTGCCTGTAGACACTTTGCGGTGGATCAGCAAATGATGCAACTGCTTTTTATTGCCTCAGAACCATTGATGCATTTCTATTTGCCAGCGCCGAAAGTCAATTTAATTAGTTTGGGAAATATTTATTAAACCAAAATACATTTGAAGGAAATGGCACGTATGTTTCAAGGAAAATCGCACAAATTCGTAGTCCTACATTTATTTCCGCTGCAGTGGAAAGCCGCGCGAATTCAACGGCACTTGTGCGTTGGCAGCGGAAATAGAAAAGCCCTTTTCCCACATTTTCCCCTAGAAAACTCACACAGGTACGCCCTTGTAGCAGCCGAGTTTCCTCCTCTTTGTAATTGAAATAGTTTGTGAATTGGATGTTTATGGGCGCGTGTGTGTTGTGGGCTAAAAATGCTTTCGATAACACAAAGGAAATCCATTTGCCACAGCGGAAGTGCCACACTCACATGTACCCAGTGTTGCAGCTCAAACCTAAGATCTGCCAAATCCTGATGTCCTTACGAGAGCACAGATGAGCTTCTCCAGCTGCAACTTAATTGAATTCTCTGCCAAGCAATCAAGGTGCTGTGAAAATAGGTTTTGTATATTGTGTCACTCAACTTCAGGCTGGACAGCCCAAATTGAAAAACAACGCTTTAAAATTTCAGTTATTCGACTAACATGTGAAAATTCCACACTCAACTTGTTTAGTTGCTTTGCAACTTTTCAATGCAAGTTTCAGAAACAACACTGTGCTAACTTATGAAACGAAGTGCGACTTATTGGAGTTCCACTGTAGCAACAAGAAGTGCCCGAGGTGCTGCCCCCAGCCATTACGAATATTTTGGTGCGTCAAATGCAGAGGCAGAGGCATGGCGATTTATTTGTGCCGCATTCCTTGATTGTTTCGTTTTTACTTCGACACCACACATGCAAACAATGACACAGGACACAAAGGACGAAGGACAACAATGTGTGCGCAACACACACAAATCCGCTTTCAGTTGTGTTTGCTTAGTGCTGGCGAAACCAAAAATCCCCGATAAACGTCGACGGAATGTCAGGTGGAATAATTTGGTGGATAATTTGCCGGTGGAGTGGGGGCTACGAGCTACCCCTTATATACTTACTTACCCTTATATACATTATGTGCAACGCTCACCGACATTGACAGCTGTCAAAAATTTGGGGCTACGCATCGGCGGATCCTTTGCCATATTTAAGTACTTACATCATGTGCATTACATTTTATGGCTGTGTGGGTAATAAACCAGCAAGTGCAATTACCACAACAGCAACAAAGCGGGCGGCAATTTGCAACAATGTTCTTGGGGGTGCTGCAAATGGGGGCGCAGCAGCAGTGGGCGTGGCACTTAAATAGTTTTGCACATTAGCGCCACTCCAAAGTTGGCTGGCCACCGAAACTGCGAGATTGCGAACCTTTTTAAACCATTTGCAAATATTAATTATTTTAATTCTTGAAATAAGGATAGTTCCCCAGCAATAGTTGGTAATTCAAGGACCTAATTGAAGTGCCCACAGCTAATAGGCGTGGCTTTAGGTCCTTTTAAGCGCATTTCGAGCGATTTTACATGGATCCCATGTGAATGCTGCTGGTGACGCCCCTGAAAGCACGCAATGCCAAACATTCGAAGCTTCTGCACATTTATCTTGAGCTTGTTGGGATGTGTTTCACTTGCACACACATATGTCTGGTCAAAGGTCACCGCTTTTTTGCAGTGCTTTTGTTGGCTTGGCGACTTGGCCGCCCGTCTCAATGGCGGCGCACTTGTAACACTAATGAAAATTCCGAATTCCAAATTCCAATGAGCTGTCAGCCGCCACGGGGAGCGACGTCTGCGTCCTTGGCACACTGCCAGTAAATTGGGTCCGAGTGGTCATAATTTCGGATGCACCCCGCCCCCAAAACGGCCAGCCATCCATCCAGCCGGCCCCGCCCCCAATCCTGCGCCCCATTTCGGCCGAAGAAAGTGTAACAGAATGCAACGTGCTTGAAATTCCACACAAAATCTGCAAAATGCTACCGACGCTTGTTTGTCCAATCAGTGCAGTGAGCGAAAACGGGAGTGGTTTGTTGCACAACTTGCAAATCATCTAACTTTTTATCATCTAAGCGTACTTTTTAATATTGAACGCTCGCCTTAAATGAATCCATTTAACTTGTTAATATATAAAATACTTTTGGCCACCTTTAAAGGGGCTTAAAGCCTGGCTCTTTCCTGTCTCTCTGTGTATTTAGCCTCATGTTCGAGTGTTTGCTTTAAGTATTGTCTTGGATTGCACTCCGTGCGCTGGTGTGTATCTGTGTGTATCAGCGAGTATCGATGTGAACGTGTGTGTGTGTGTGTGTTGGGGGCGTGAGTAAGGCTGTGATGGCACTTTACGAATTGCTTTGGCGTATGTGGGCTAAAGGGTCGTTTTGTTAATAACTTATGACAGGCCAGCAGTTCGGGCCCGAAACCCACCTGGCCAAAGGCGAGTGTGTGCGAGTGTGAGCTGTTGTTGCGGTCGAGTTTTCTTTGTTTTCTGCTACTGGCCACTGGGGAATGATTAATGTAGCAGCTGGACGACTTGGGCACTTGGCCAAAAAGGATTGAGGCCTGGCAAATTGATGGCACGTCGCCCGGAGCGAGGCTTCAAGGTAGGCCAGCAAAAACGAGACATTTTCCATTCAGATATGGGCAATGTGATCCCGCAAATAATCGCATAGTACATCGGTGAGCTAATGAAGAACGAAAGCCAGTGGTTCATTATAGGCCCGGTTCAATGGAACCCGAGGCTTTCTCGGCCATTAAATGGCTTTCCATTATTTGGCCGGCTCTTAGGCGAACTCCCCAAGGACTCGGCTGTTCATTTTCATTCCTGGCAGGATCTGCGAGCCCCTGCCTTTCATTTACTTAGCTAATTCTCAACACGTGCTGTCACTTACAATTGTCCGTCCGGGGGCGCCAAAACTTTTCGATTTCCACGAACTGGAGCCTTGCAATTTCTGGCGCGCCAGTTCAATTGGTCTAATTGACTTTTCTTTTTGGCGGCTCGCTGGGAAAAGTTTTCAACACCCAGCCAGCGAGAGGAATTAACAGGCAATAATCGATGGAGTGGCCTGTTCCTTGCCAATCCAACCATCGCATCGCGGCCACCCACTCCGCATTGCCTCAATTTTTTCTTGCTTCGCGCCTGCAAATTATGCCACAAATTTGAAATGCCACATGGAAAAAGGCGCCGGGTGGGCGGCGGTTGAGCGGATTTTTTTGCCCGAGGTTGGGACGCTCGGCGACAACGAAATTAAACGA